CGTCCCTGCATCCCACAGCCGAACAGTGTGATCCGAAGAACCAGTGACGATGCGAGTGCCGTCCGGCGAGAACGAGACCGAGTTTACTGAATGAGTGTGCCCCCGCAAGGGCTCACCGACTGGCTTCCCCGTCCCTGCATCCCACAGCCGAACAGTGTGATCCCAAGAACCAGTGACGATGCGAGTGCCGTCCGGCGAGAACGAGACCGAGTTTACTGAATGAGTGTGCCCCCGCAAGGGCTCACCGACTGGCTTCCCCGTCCCTGCATCCCACAGCCGAACAGTGTGATCCGAAGAACCAGTGACGATGCGAGTGCCGTCCGGCGAGAACGAGACCGAGTTAACTGAATCAGTGTGCCCCCGCAAGGGCTCACCGACTGGCTTCCCCGTCCCTGCATCCCACAGCCGAACAGTGTGATCCGAAGAACCAGTGACGATGCGAGTGCCGTCCGGCGAGAACGAGACCGACAAAACTGAATCAGTGTGCCCCCGCAAGGGCTCACCGACTGGCTTCCCCGTCCCTGCATCCCACAGCCGAACAGTGTGATCCCAAGAACCAGTGACGATGCGAGTGCCGTCCGGCGAGAAAGAGACCGAGTGAACTTCATCAGTGTGGCCCCTGAGAACGGCCTGAACAGCTGGCCAGTTCATATCACGTCCGGATGCCACACGAAGAATGTTCGGAAATCGTGCACAAAACTTTCTCGATAGCAGAGAATTGGCAGGCGAGAATGGGAGTGCTGATACGTATAGATGCGGTGTGCTGTGTAAAATGATGCCGCCGAAGACCTGAATGAACCTCTGAACGTCCATTGCAGTCGATGAGACGTTTTTGAACTCGGAATGGTCCTGGAATTGCATGTGAGCGCTTTATCTGGCCCTCCGTAGCAATGTACTGACCTTTAGCCAGTGGGAAATAAGCGGAAGGGCGGGAACTGCGCTGCTCAGCGCATCCATCAGGGCCAGTGACTCTAGCCAGAAAAAGACCCGTTCATTGTCGAAGAACGATCTTACTTCTTTTGCGAGCTCCTCGTCGAAGGCTGTGTCCCGTACGTGCGAAGTCCAAAATCGAGAGGAATATGACAGATGTGGAAGGATGCAACCTTGAACTCGGTCTTGCAGTCCGGGGTCATCGCTATTAGGTAGATACGACGACTTTATATCACAGATGTTGAAGCGAAGTCCATGTTCCATCACTCGGAGTGACGCGAATGCAAGGTCGTGTTGCGTCTTTGACAGGTCGATGAAAAACTCGCCACTGGATAGTTCGTCCGTCAAGAAATCGCGGAAGGATGCATGAAGGGGTCGGATAGGGGAATCTAGATTGGTGGTACCGCTGAGGAGGGGGCCCATGCATTTTACCATAAGTTTCGCATCAAAATGATCTTCTTGTTTTGGAAAATGGCGTCTCATGACGTTCAGGGAGGCTAAAGAAAGGGGCTCAGCTGTCCCCAGTATTTGTCCCATCACTGAGCGAAATCTTGCCAGCGTAGTCGAACGTAGCCTTTGCGAATGTTGGACATTGGTAGATGTATCCCTATGCATGATATCTGTTAAAATGAGGCGGTACATATCGTGCAACAGTACGCTTCTCTCGGCCGGATCGAGTGACACCACAGCTTTGTAGCAATCAATCGGAGATATTCCAGGATGGGGGTCTTTGATGTATCCGCTGGCGAGACGCGCCCACTCGAAAAGTCCATCAGCTTTCTCAGCCAGGACTGCCAACTCTCTGTCCTGGAAATCTAGCTCTTCCAACTCTCTGGATACGTAAGCACGGATATCGCGCTCTGTGAATGCTGCTGGAATATCATCCATGGACATCTGTCGAATATGCTGAACGCCACGAAACTTGTCTTCGATGTCACCAAGCGGACGAGAGGTAACGATGAAGCGGAAGTTGTCTGGGAGGTCTGTGATTTTGGGAACGTCGGGATGTTGATGTTTGCCAGCTAGAATACGGAGGAGGTCTCCCCGTGTCTCTACTCCACCGCTCTCGTCCAGTGCATCGATTACGATCACGATGGGTTCCCCGGTCGACCCAGAAGACTTCCTCAGTGGTTCGATAAGAAGTTTCTGCCACTGCTGGATGATATCCGTCGTCGTCTTGAGCGAAGTTGTACCCTGAACTGCATCTGCTAATTCCCGCCTTAGCTTCGGATCACGGTCAGCCAGGTTGCGTGCGATCGTGGAAAAGATCTTTTCGTGGCGACGATCTGCTTCTCGCTGGCGGTCAAAACAGTAACACGAACCAAGCCCTCCCACGTCGTTGAACCACTTAGCAATGGTGTGGGCGATGGTCGATTTTCCCTTGCCTGCAGGGCCGGATAGCCACAACACACGTGGAACGTCGTCCCCAGTGGTGTTGACCCAATCCGTGATGTTGGAAAGGATCTCTGTGCGCGTCCCTTCGAGGCATTCTTTCCTGGTATCTAGTCCTGCGCCCTCCGCATAGGTGATGCCGCTGAGGTCCAGTATTTCTCCTGCAAAGGTGTGAATATATGTCAAGTCGCAAGGTCGTCCGAATCCTTACCTATATGGTGGACTTGTATGTCAATGTCGTGGACGTGTATGGCTACATCGTGTAAAACCTGGTCCCGGAAGTCTTGCATGAGCCTATCTAACGCGTCGTTGTACTTTTGAATCCTATCTGTCGTTTCTGAGACAATGTTCTTTCCGAGTCTCTTCCCTGTGATGATGGTAGAAGCTTGAGAAGGTACAAAGCACAGCAGCCAGTGATACTCACAAAAGTTGCATGTCTCCGAATAATTGCTGATGAAATAGGCGCATTCACGGATCTGCTTGGAAATCTTTCCAAGGATACTGATGGCGCGCATAGACAATTTTTGGTCAAGCTTCCCGTCTTGCGTCATGAAGTCGTAAACTTCAGACAGCTTCTTGAGGAGTTCGAGTACCGCTGCGTCGCGATCCGCTTGAGCTAGAATAACCTACACAAATGATTGCTGAGCGGTGAGAGAGGAAGAACAGAAAAAAGAACAACGTACTTTGGCTGTCCAAGATAACACGCCCAGTGCCATCTTTGCATACGGATGTAGCTATGGAACTAGATTAGTTCGGTTCCGATCGGGAGGAGGGTTCGTACATCTGCGATCTTCCCAATAACATCGTCGAATATCCTGAGGGGTTCGAGATATGTTTCCTGGAGACTGTCAGCAACATCCAGATCGTCTTGTGCGCCTTCGAAAACGGACGCTGCAGTTATCGCAGGGCCTGAAAGTGGATGCATGCGATTTACACCCTGTTGTGCACCCCGAAGTGCTGATTCGGTATCAGCCTCCACATCAGATGAAGTAGCCTGAACCTGCGCGACCGCCAAAATTTAGAGAGAGCCTATAGACTAAAGGGAAAGTATCAGAACTCACCACGATATTTGGGGTCGACGAAGCACGTTCATCATGACAGACATTTCTGGGAGCAGGGCTAAGACTGCGGGAATCGTTGGAGCGCTTGTTGCAAGCTTAGTGGTGTTCCAGGACGCCCATCGCGCATGCTCTTGGACTCACCGTTAACTTTTTCGCATCCTCCTTGAGTTTCTTCAGAAACCGACCAATTTTGCTACGGGGTCGATGCTAGACGAAGGATGTGTCGATGTCAGTGTTTGGAGTGGAGTGCACTCATAAGCCACGTACCGTTCCTGCAGCTGTCGCTTGACTAGATGTTTGAGTAGAATTTCTCATCGATGGGTTGCTTTTCCTCCGAGTCATTGTAAATCCTTAGCAGTGGAAGTGAAGTAAGAGAGGTGCCCGGTGCCCACTGCCCACATCAAACCAGACGCCACGCGCCTCGAAGCTGTGTTGCAAGCGCTAAACGATAAGCATTTGAATTTCGCAATTGAGCTCTGTTCTCGCCGATCGCGACATTTTGAAATACATCATGATCAGTCTGGATTTGACATTTGAAATTTCACGACTATATATATAACTTTCTACTATTCTAGATCTCGCAAAATGATGCTCACGCTATCCGTGCTTCAATAGATACTTGCAAGTCGGTCTCAAGACCAATAAGATGTCAATACCCCCTCCAAACGTTTACAGTCCGCGAGACTCACACCGGCCACGGCAGATATGTCGAAAGTTCCGTTTTGCTGCCACGGCTGAAGTCAGACCATAGCTTCAGGAGTCGTTCAGCCAATAACCCTTGCTTCCGTAAAGGAGGAGTGTCGCAAAAAAACGGCAACTGTGGTTGAAGAGAGCTATGGCATACGAGCAAGCACTTTTGGAGTGAGACGGTGAATGACTGACCAACCGATCCTGGTGGATTATAGTTCTGTCGGCATTCGTTGAGAAACCTAACGATGAGCATCTCAAGCATCAGCTGGAGCTTAATGAGACGTTCAGGAGGCGATGAGTTACGCACTATGTCGAACCTTTACTTCATGAGCGTTCTCGGGCCAATCATGATAGCCTATGATCCAATACGAGACCGAGGAATGAATTACGTGTCAACCATCTAGTTAATCTTGTGCATGCGGTCAGCGAGATGAGGAGTATGTTGAGACGAACTCGACTTGGTTGCCCATGGCCTCGAGAAGGCAATGATGCTTGGCACTGTCTGGGTCCTCTTGACTTCTGAGGTGCAACAAGACACCATCTCGGTTGTGGAAGTGAAGCACGGGTAGCCAGACGTGAATCCACGAGCTTGGAATGTACGGTATAATGGACAAGTATTGATTGTGAAAGTAGTAGGTGGCAAAATTAAGGAAAATGAAAACGTCTCCCAAGGTAGATGAAGGGCATTAGCGTGCTATTCCCAGTGAGTAACAGGAGAACTATGGGTCGTGCTGCTCATGTTGGAGAACAAGGAGTTGATATGGAGATGCGAGAATTTTCACATCAATAGAAGCACCGCCGAATTCGAATAAGTTGTCACTCACCGAGAACTCGTTCTTTGCAAGATGAAAGATTCTTGGCAACCGCCTTTCTAACAAGCCTATAGGTGAGTGATCAGGTCATACTATATTCGCAGGCCTTCTTCTGATGTCGTATCTACACTTTAAAGTGATCGTGCAGCAGCAAACAGAGACACCAAGTCTATCATCCAGATTTCACGTTCCAACATTTATCGCTTTGGTGACCCAAACTTCTCAGCGCCGGTCTTCCGCCACGGATGTTGAAGGGACTATTGATGAGGGTGAGAGCTGGGTTGTGATGCCAGGCTCGAAGCAAAAGACCAGGTGCGTCATGCTGATATTCTAAAGTGTTTACATCGACAAATTCAGATTGCGCTTTAGACACTCCTAGGTCACCTACGCATAACTCCTCCGCCCTTACCTGGAAGACTATTTCCTTTCCTCTCAGACCCTCCACGCGACCCACACAACTGTGTGACTTTTGTATCATTCGCGCATCGGCCCCGTGCAGCAGGCGGTGCCTTCTACGACTACACTTCTCGATACGGCGCAGTCAGAAAAGAACACCGTATCACCCTTCGGGAAATTATGTTTGGAGAGTATGACTTTCTGAATATCCAGCCAAAAGGTGAAAAGGTGAAGACTCCCGTTGAAATTGCACAGGAAGGGCATCTGTGAGGACCTAACTCCGAGACTAGGTCTTTCCTCCCTGTTGGATTTACCTTTGTTAGCTTTATCAAATGACCAGACGCATCGAGCACGCATCGTGAAGGCTATTTTGTCTGAACCAGAGCTCCTCGTACTCGACGAACCTTTAAGTGAGTGATTGAACTTACATTCGACGAGCGTAAAGTCTAATGGCTGTACTTTATCCAGCCAGCCTTGATATCAATACTCGCCCAATCTTGCTGAATGTCCTTCGGTCACTGCATGAGTCTCACTGTCTACGCATCATGGGTATCTGGATCCAGGACCCTGTTCCTGAGTGTATTTCGCACATCGCTGTAGTGGGCTAAACTATCCTGACAAGGTGTCAAAGATGAAATCATGTCCAAGCATGCGGGACATCAGGCAAACGCAGGGGAAGCTGAGCATAGAATGGCAAGCACCACTCAGTCATATCAACCAAACGTTACGTATTGTCAAGGAACCTAGTACATCATGGGTATCGTCCACGGTGGGAGAAACATGTTGTTGAGATATACACCTCTCGGCAACTAAAGAATACGTTAAATGAGATACACGAACTGGTAGGGATAACAGCGTGCTATTATGGAGTTTCCCTAGCAAGCGCGCCTCAGCGTAGGAGAGAGAGCCTCGATAGAGGGAATACGATCAGGGCCATTTATCCTGCATGTCCATCGCAGTCTTGAAAGAGTTCAGGACGATGATGTGCTGACCCGAACCCTTGATATACGAGATGTCACCAGCAGAGAAGACTTTATGTTGGCGAAACGGGAGGTATTCACCATACTTCTTGCCCGGTTCTTCTTTCCGAACACCTGCGTTAGCACTGAGGAGATATACTTCGACACGGGCAAGGCAAAGGTCAAGCCAAGTGGTTATGCTAGCAGAGGACCAGAACGAGATTGTGTAGTCCTATCAATTGGCTGGCCAATAATGTGACAGTACACCCAAACTCTGCGTAGGCTTCGTTATTTTGTCCGTGATCAAAGATATCATCAACCTCCGAGTAAGCGGAAGCCTGCAGGTGATAGACTAATCAAAAACTGGAAAGAGTATCACCGGCCGGTAGCAAATTGGTGATAGGTAGGAGTACCGTCATTTCATCCATGTCATACTCGGATTCGCGTCACTTTGCAGCAAGCCCTAAATGGGACAACTTCGGGTGTGGCTACCATGCGTCAAGCCTGAGGTGTAGACCACAAGCGTCTGCCAGAGTACTCAGTATGCACTGTCAACAACATGGAACAGGAAGATATGTACAATTGTATCGCGATGTGACATCAAAGTCGATCCTGCACTATGATACAAAGTTCAAACTATGACGGACCTAGATTTCAGGTATGAAAATCTCCGCTTGCCTCTGATTTGCGATTCATCTTAATAGTTAGCATCCTGCTCAATGAGCGTGACGGCTCTTGAAGAGCGAGGTTTAATGGAACACTTGAAGGGTTTAGGGTGGCTAGAAGGATATATAGGATCAGCGCCGGAAGTGATCAGATATGCAACATACCTGATTGTGCCTGACAATGGATCAACCTCAGGGATGATCTCAATACCGTTCTCGACGACCTTCGAGATATCGAACACGGCTAGTGACATCGCAGCGGATATCCAGACAGAGGCCTCAGCGAGGTGAATACCTGTAAACGAAAATCAACTGAACGTCAGAATACAGTTCGGGAGTCAGGCATACCTGGACAAATACTGCAGAGCAGAAAGTTAGCATGGCACAAAAACCTGCTGCATGCTTACCGTCTTCCAAAGCCGAAGCAGATCGTGCGTGGGTCTGTCTCAGGCTCCTTGCCTAAAAAGCGTTCAGGATTGAATTGCGAAGGGTTAGCGTAGTTCTTCGGGTCATTCAGCATGAACCTGCCATTATATTCTGTTCAAACATCGAATATGGGAAAAAGAATGTACTGACCAGATGTTAGTCATGACCATGGAACCTTTTGGGATGTAGTACCCGTCATGGATATCGTCCTCAGAGACGCAGTGGGGGAAACCTGACATTGAAATACTGCTCGGCAACTAAATAATGCGTTCAATGAAATACACAAACCGGTAGGGATAACAGAATGCCATCGTAGGGTCTCTTTAACAAGCGCTCCGATGTAGGGTAGAGAGTCTTGGTCGGCGAAGGAGGGAAGACGATCAGGACCGATAACAGCATCTATTTCAGCCTGAGCCTTCTTCTGCACGTCAGGGAATAGCGTCATAGCTAGGAAGAACGCATTGATAGTAGAAACAGTCTGGTGGGAAAGTGTGGTGCTCTCAGAAGATGATTGTCAGAAATAGAGAGCGAGGGACCAACAGTGTCAAAAGCGCCGGCGTATAGGGTTGCAGAAGACCATTTCACACTGTGCTCGTCTTCCGCTGACAAACTACCGCCTCTCAACAGATTCGAGGTGAAAGACTCTGGGGCGGTGCCAGCAGCCTGTGAAAGTCAAACTTCAACGCACACTCGCAGAATTTTAAATGATCGTCACCATCTGATCCACGACGAACTTGTGCGGTGCAGAAATCAATTCTTCGAGGTCATCGTGCCACTCGCGGGCCAGACGCTTGAAGCCAGCACCAGGCATCCATTCGGGGACCTTGACCACTAAAATGGTGAGACCGTTTGAAGCAGATATATGAATGCTAGTATGGCTTACAGAATGGCACGACATCAGCCATGAAAGCGCCAGGAGCGGTGGCACGCGACCACTGGTCCATAACGCGGTCTGCAAGGTCAACGAAAGGATCGTCGTTCTCTTTCACCTCGTACCCATGAGAGATGCGCAGGATCACGGCGCCAGCAGTGCTATAAAAATGAAGATCATGTCGATGCAATGATAAATGATACGTACTGTCGAACATGCGCCTGCAGTTGATCGGGTTTCGCGAACACATGCTTGAGGAATCGGTGAGTCTCGGCTTCCTCGACCTGGCTGTATACGCCCACAGCGGCGCGGGTGCCAATGACGCTGTGGAAGTTTTTGCGGTACCGGCGTAAACGGTCGCCGTAAGGGAGGAGAGGCATAACATTTTTGTAACCAATGAGTTCACCACCAACAGGCAAGACAGGACGGTCGGAGTAAACAGTGCCCCTGTTGTCCAGCATGTCCATCGCAGTCTTGACGGAGTTCAGCACTATGATGTGTTGACCCAGGACCTTGATATGCGAAATGTCACCTGTCGACAAGACGTTGAAATACAAGAGTGTGTGAAACAAGAGACACTCACCATACTGCTTGCCCCACTCTGTGAAGGTGAGCCAGGGCTTTATGTGGGGCATGTCCAGGACATTCCCGATGAGAGGCCACCCCGGAGGACCAGGGGGATATGGAGGGTTCTTCTTGTCGAAGACCTGCTTAAGCAGATATACTCCGACACAAGCAAGGCATAGGTCGACCGCAGTGACGTTGGTGAGGGCCAACATGATCTAATACTAGGTGAGGACAATCAGCTCGAGAGTGGGGTTGTAGTGAAACTTGAGCTTGAAGGATCAGATGAGAGGAGAGTCACGAGCTCGACTTCATTATCTGAACCAACACCGGTAGGGAATGTCTCGCTACCATTAGGCCCACTTCGGAAGTCTGTGAATAATTCGGTGATAAGTACTAGTAATAGTAACTTGTTGCCAGTCCGAAATTGTTCGCCTCCGTACAGCAAGGTACGAGCAAGACCGGAGCAAAGCATGGATCTTACATAATAAGTCCTCGCTTACTAGTATAGCCGGTATGCACTCCCCTCTGATGAGTATACCTCTTTGAGCAACTTTCGGGCGATAAAACTAATATATACATTGATATCTGAGTTGAGTATTTTCCGAGATCATTCATATACCTTATCGAATGGTTAATAGTCAGGGGGACTCTATATATAGATCTCTCTACATGTCCGATGGAACATTCGTTCCCTATTCATCTCAAACCGGAGTGCATCCGAACCGTGGAGCTCCTGCATCCAACCTGCGATGAAGACTGTTTCCACAACACCCTCGATCTCCGACTCGTATGTATCCTTCAACGTTGCAACCATGATGCATAATGTGCCATTTTCGCTATTTGACCGACTTTGACATTGTCCACTTCTTTAACAGACACTCTCCCAGGTCCAATACTGCTAGTTGGTGATATTCAGCCTCAACGCTTAGTACAATCATACAAATTGAAGTGTCTATCATGCCGAACAGTTGTCAACAACACGTGCAGCGTGGCAGGCACAACATAACCTGAACTCTCAACCCTGTGCACGCAAGGTGCGTAATCAAAAGCTAGATCATGTTGTTGATCTATATATGTTTTCTGCATACGCAGAGCCCGTACGAAAGCGAGTAGGTGGCGAGCTGTCGACAATAATACCGTGTGCAGAAGTTCAGGCAGCACAGCGCGCCTGACATTTTTGGAGACCTGGCATAGTGAAAGGGCAGATGAGTATGGGTCTCGGGTGTAAGGCACATATTGAGCGAAAGGTGGTGTGCCGCATGCTTGAAGACGACGAGGGCGAGGTTAGAAGGTCGTTAAATCTAAATGAAATGGGAGTAGGAGGTTCCATAATGCGCGAGTAAGAGACCTTGAAGCTGGTTTGACTCAAGGCTTTAATTAGGAGGTTTTGATGTGGCTCAAGGTGCGTCACAGCCACGTCAAAGTAGCTACGCCTAGTGACCCTTCGCGAGGCATCCGGCTGAATGTACTCTGTTTCTTGTTAAAGTCGAGCAGCAAGTAGTATTAGGCAGTGATCGTAGTCATAAAAAGAAATGGTCGCGACTAAGCCCGAACGCACACAGCACCCTGTCTTGGATGTGCACGTCTATACAAGTACTACCATGCGCGTAACTAGACTGGTTGGTGATTCCCTGCATAGGCTTTTTGAACTATCAGAAACGGATAACTTTTGTGAGTGACTAGGGGGTAGCACTCACTATGCATTCCTCCAAGATGGCACTGGAATTTATGATGCCCTCGTACACAGTCTTAGCGACAATCTGTGGTAAATGCACCGATGGAGCATTATCAACAGCGCCCTGGATCACCTGCTCATTCCGAGACGGAACGTTGACATCTGAAACTGTAGCCTTGGAGCGGGTCGCTTCTCTAACGTACGAAGCTCTAAGGTGCATAAATCTCAGTGATGTGAAGAATCTCTTTTAGACCGCACCTCGTTGACAATAGCTGCAGTAACTGTGTATCAACGATGTCCAACTGTACACGAATTTCGTCTAGCGAAGAACAGCATGTCGTGCCGTTTGCGAATTGGATTGTTGGCTCGCCCCATGGTACGGTACGGTTGCCAGTGGAGGATGGTAAAGAAGGGAGAGGGGTGAAATAACATTTTTAAGAAGGGTATGAGGTCCGGGAGGACGCCACGACAAGACCGATGATTCGAAGAGCAACAAGAAAACCTAACATCCTGATTAAAGTCAATTGTTGGTCTCTTTCGAAGGCCAGCGATCATGAGTGCAATTTGTCAGTGGGCTACGCAGAAAGACCAAGGGTCTCACCGGCCATAAGACAGAAAATGGAGACAACGAGGGAAAGGCTGGGACTCGCTATAATCAGCAACATACATGGAAGCGAGTAGAGGTGACTCGGACCTGCGCAATGAAACGTTAGTTGCCTGCCGAGTCAGCATGAATCATCGCTAACCTTCAAAACTCCACTCGAGTCTATCACAAGATTCATACATGGCGATAACAGTGAGATCACAAGCAAACACTAACCGCAACATTCGACGCATCACAAACCATTTTTCCATGTTTCTCCCATTCTTCCGCATATCTGGAGGTCCCTGCGGAGCCTGTGAAGAAGAATGAGAAGTGGTGAGTGAAACGCTCATCGTGAAGTTGGGGGCAGAGAGGATGTGCGGATACTAAACGCATTCCCATTATATGGGACGGCATCATTCCACAAAACATTCTTATTAGCGTCCATATTGACATGTTATGTAATGAATGCGCGCGCGCCATGTGTATTGACTTTCCTGGAGCACCTCGCGATCTATTGGAGGGCATCCCTACTTATCAGCATCAGCCTCGGTAAATGTAGCGCCGCTTTATCGTCATCATGAGCTCTGCAGTTAGGGTGCCATCGCAGTCCACATAAGCAGTATTACTAAAGCAAAGTAGTCCAAGTTAGCCCGAGGTTGGATTAAGGAAGAATACTTACGCGTGCATGGGCCAATCACTCAATTGCCAGGAAACTTTGCGTTTGGTGTCGGTCTTATCCATGTAATATTGATATACTCTGTGCATTAGCCAGAGCAAGTAAAGAGTAGTCATGTATAAACTTTAGTATGCCTTCAAATGAGTGGGAATGATAGACCTACTCCCCAGGTGCAAGAATGTGCGATACACACATATCGAGGCGTAGAGGTTGCATGGCATCGGAGCCAGGTGACGGTTTGTTGGCCTGAATTTCAAGTACAGCATTTGGGCGCACTGCCGAGCTATCTCGAGAAATACCAAACTCAACAAGCCAATCCCCTGTCAGCATATCCACATCAAAGCGTAACACCCATATACGTCCTTGAGGGAATCAGGTGTTGGTATCAGTACGAAGAACAAACCAAAAATAAATAAATCATGTACTACATACCCTGGGCAACAAATTCTGCTTCCAATTTCCGTGCAATACGCAGACGCTTCTGGAACATCCTGAAGACAAAATGAACAGAGAAGGTGTTTTCGTTACTGTCCACGCTCAGGGTATCCCCTCCATGGACTTGAATGTCATCTCGCGGACAACCCAACATGTGTCTCGAAGACCTATCCGTGGCTAATAGTACGCAGTGAGTTACTTTTAGGACATCATGTATGTATCTGCACGTACAATCAACCTCATTGTCTCCCAAATGCAGTAGCATAAATGAATCATGGTCGTTCGCTGCCATACATGCAAGACGCAAGTCGGCAGAACAAGCACGTGAGAATTTGGGAATGAATTTAACAAACTCCAGAAGGGCTTCTCGCCGGTTGTTTACAATCGCCCAATACAGCGCTGTGTGGTTCTCGATATTGGGTTTTTGGAGCAGCTTTGAGAACTCTGCTGCTGGGAGAGCAGCAGTGCAGGATTTGATATTCGGGGCGACAGAGGAAACAGCAAAACCAGGAGAAGAGACAATTTCACGGATCAGAGATAGAGCAGAAGTTTGGCGGCGTTTTTGCTTGGATTGTAAGAATGAAAATACTGATTGTTTAGACCGGATGGAATCTTCTGACACGGACAGATCATACGAGGGAGGTGGGTCGGAGCTGTCATCGAAGGCTAAGGTGGCCATCGTAAAGGAGACAAAATAGGGGCTGCCGCTGCAAAGCATGACCAATTGGTTTAGAGGCTCTGGCGGAGATTATTTTCTGTGTCGATGACAGTTACAAGTTGCACACCTTGCTCATCATTGCGTTAGGTGCATAAACGAGTTCGCATTTGTTCGCCAGCCTCCTCGCACGGCAGTTGCATCCCACATTCAACAGCAGCTATCCCCACACCCAACACTGCAAACGATCACCTCATTTCCTTCTCATCAAATCCAACTCATGCACGGCGCGACACTGCTGAGCTACTCACGGGCACCTCCTACACATTTGTGCTAGGAGAAGATGGATGGATAATGGGACCCAATCATCGGCTCTTATTCTGGGTACCACCGGCTTCTCGAGATCCATTTTATACTCCTCCGACTGCATTAGTGATACCCAAAGGTGGTGTTGAGCTTGATTTGAGTCGTATGGCACATGGTACACACTGGCAGGACTGCTACAAGGAGTGACTCCCCAGTGCTTGTTTTCCGTTCCTCGCAGTTAATCAACTCGATCCTTATAGCTCTTCATCATGATAGCCTTGTTCCGGTAAACTAATTGGCGGAGCCTCGCTGATGATGTTCACGGCGAAGCCTTGGCCGTTCTTTAGGTTCGCGGTCGTGTCTTTGAGGCTGCCCGTAGCATCGTGGTTGATCGCGAATGAGATGACAGGCGGGTAGTTCGTGACCTATGAGACGAAGATATTAGACCATTAAAGGGACCCGTTGTTTGTCGCATTGCTCACTGTGTTGAACCAACTGGCGGATGCAAGCCAGGTAGTAAGCATGCAGAGTATGTTAGATTATGGAAGTGTGTCTTACCTGAAGGGTGCCAGGTTCTCCACCCCATCCTCGCTGATCGTGGATACGAGTGACATGGGACGTGGTAGAATGCCTGAATTCAAGAGCTTGTTGAGATTGCTGTCGATCGCGGTCACGATCGCGGCTGATAAACATGCGCTGATTGAGAAACAAATAGAGGCGATGTTGAGTGGAAGGAGGACATAATGAGTGTACAAGGTATCTGGTTTGGAGTAAAGAGAGCACCATGGGTCGGACCTGCCAGCGATAGATCAAAGGCGTGTTAGCTACAAGACGAGCAGTTTGATCAGATCAAAAGCCCACTTTTTCGCCCACTTTTTTGTTCACTCAACGTCCAGAGAGAGTCGGGGTCGATAAAGTGACAGTCCTCATGCTGACAATTTCAATATCAAAGAGGTGCTGACCCGGCCATACGCGCTAACATTGGGCAGCTCACAGCTAAGATGAGCATCTGAGGTCAAATTTGAACATTATGATACTATAGAAAATGTATTGTTCGAACCGCAGGCGCTGCAGACTCACTGAATGATCATGATGAGATTAAGGGTTACAAGCATTGTTCATACCAAGCATGAGCGACTCAAGGTCGGTCGAGTGTCTCACTTTTCTCGTCTTTCCATCAACTCCACGAAATCAACTCCTTCGCGGTTTGAGCCTGGGAGGTGGTTGCGCGATGATGCGAAAGAAATCGTTGATGGGGTAGGTGACGAGCAATGGGACGGGAATGGTCGACGGTCACCGGTTCACTTAGAATAGTTGTTCTTTACTATGTAGCAGCACGCAAATAGTATAAGGGGAGAACTTTGAAAATTACACAGACTGGGGCTGCAAAGAGACGGACGGTTGACGCTTTTAATATTCGCACGAGGGTTTACCAGTGCGCTTATTGCGCCTACTTACCAGCGAGCCACCGTCAAAGACATTCTTCGCAGTCTGAGTCGAACACCGTGTCCATAGCCACCTATCATTATGAAGCTGATATGAATGTCCCAGATCAGTTCGGCAACCAGCGCATTTGGAACGCATCGAGCGTGTATCATGGACTATTGACGATGCAAGTTGGTTATATCACTGACTAGATTCTCAAGCCCGCATCTATAATTTGAACTGTCCTAGGAAAAGCTCTAAAAGTTAAATTTGAAGGACTCGATACGGACTACACATTACGCCACAACGAAACCCCCTCTAGCAAACGAACGGTCTCCCAACTTGGCCATTGGCGTAGGCTTCAGCGATGAGCTATTATCAACCACTGACAGTGAGACGAATGTCAGATGCGAAGACACGAACACTGACCTTTATCGACACATAAGTCCCAGCGACACAGATGAAAGTGCCGGAAATAATAGTCAACACTGCGAGTGTGGTCCCGATTGGTCGTCGTTTGAGCCCGTCCAAGCCACCCTCGAGATGATATGCGTCATGCAACCAGAAGCATCCGGCCAAACCGTACGTGTACCATGCGGCAAAGAGGGCTGCCGTGATGCCGATTAGGTAGGAAAATATCGGAACTGCGATGGCGAGAATTGCAGCCATAGCTGAGCGCTGAGCCTGCAAAACACAGCAGAGTCCAAACCGTCCACCCGAGTAAGGTATGCGAATGGACGTGCTCTGAATGACGAAATATCGAACAAACACAAGCTTTGCAGCTGTATAAGTGTATAACCCGGAATAGAGAATTAGTGAGGACTAGACCAAACAGCAAGGCATCACTGACAACAGGAAATTTGGGAGAGCAATGGCGAACGCTGCCTTTGCCCATACCGGAGGAAGAGAAAAGAGGACCGGGGACTGGACTGTGTTTCCAATGTAGACATACATGACTCCGCTGAAAACAACATAGAATACTGGAGCGAAGTCCTGTAGACACCATGCTGCCTGAAAATGGCCTTCAGTCACAACATCGAGTACAGGAGCGTTCTGACCTTCATAGCGTCCTCGGGTTTGCGCATCTCAGATATCAAAATAAAGAACCTGTCATAGGTCAGTTTCGGCAGGAATACCATGCCCAAAGTCATACATGAAGTGTCCTAGTAAAGTAGTGAGGAATGTTGATTAACATCGCAAAATTCCGCACCTGCATATGCAAAAACCTAATGAGCAGATAAGCAACGCTAAGTTACTCGAAGATATAAGAAGGTACCCACAGGATTTGTGACAGCCAAGAAAGCATCGAAAAAGTTACTGGAGGCAGCTACTGTCAAAGATCGTCCGGGAACTGGGTTCACCCCTGCTCCAATCATTGCAATGAAACCAGCTACGGCAATGACTGCTGCACTAAGAACACCCATCCATGCCAAGCGATCCAGTGTCCGTGGTAGTGAAATCAAGAAAGCAACGGTGCCAGTAATGATGACCAGATACATACTACACATGCGCTGATTCGAAAGCGTTGACAGTGCCTGCTGGCTGGAAAGTAGTCCAGAGCCCTGTTTGTGATAATTCAATTGCGACATAGTATTCCAGTTAACTCGATGACGCACCAAACCAAACACAACGAAAGAAACAGTTCCGAAGGCAAGCACTTCCCGAGCCACAGGTCCGAACATAATGTATCCAGCATCGCCTAGAGTATCTCAGGTGTTTGAAAATCACCGATGACAGAATTTATTACCCATAGTATGCACATTGGGATGATTCAACTTGAAGTCGATGAGCAACTTGGCAGTGTACAGGCCAAAAATACCGAGAAACACGATTAGAATGACAGCGGGCACAATGCCTGAAGATTTGTACCCAGCATAGCCTAGAGTATCTGAGGTGTTTGAAAATCACCGACGACAGAATTTATTACCCATAGTATGCACAATAGGATGATTCCACTTGAAGTCGATGAGCAACTTGGCGGTGTCCACAATCCCTCCGCGAAGTCCACCTCGACGTTCGACACGGCGTCAGTAAAATGTCGGATCTCGTCCCTAATCGAAAGTTTAGTGAAGATCATGAAAGCGCTATAACCTCAGTCGTAATGTCCCCTGAAGGACAACGAAAGATCGCCGGCTCGTACGACAGGACGCTTCGTCTGTGGGACTTGACGACAGGCATTATATTGAAGAAGATGGAGGGGAATCGCCACAAAGTGCGGGCATTAGCGGTATCACAAGATGGGCAATTGATAGCAAGCGGTGGCGATAAGGGAGAGATCATCATCTGGCATGGAGAAAGTTGGGAGTATCTCGTCCAAGTAATATTGCTGATGGTCGCTGCAACATGGCAGATGCAAAGAAGTCCAGTACTTGGGTCAACTGTGTTCGGTATTCGCCATCCGGCAAACTTTCGGATACGAAGGGTTTTCATTAGTGACTGTAGTAGAAGCGCTGCTTCTCCAGGTCTTCATCACCAATATAGCCGCTCGCAGGAAAATGGCCTGGGACATCGGCACCTCCGAGCGGTGTTTAAACTCCGCTCGATGCTTCGAACTTCGAACGGCCATGCCAATCATTAATCAATATCAATCCCCGCCACCGCCTAACATTGAATGCTGCACGCGTGGGCTGGTCACTGCCACAAAAGTAAGCATAATCATCAAATTATTCTTATATTATATCCATAATCCATTTCTTCAGGTAAGGCACAACATGTGTTCGAGAATGAACGTTTCTGCCATGTGACATAGCTCAACAATTATACTATCCATGCTGTTGGTGCAACTATTGTCGTCTGCGCAGATGACCTCCATAACTTCGATGCCCGGTCTGGTGAGAGTAATCATTTTCTGTCAACCTCAAGTCCCGCTAATCACGTTCACAGTTGGTAAGTTTCTTCATTTCATTTGAGTCCTGCTCAACGATGACACTGTCCATCCATTGACAGGAAGTCAGTATGTTATCCGTCTACAGGATACTAGTGCAGTCTGGGATTGTACAAGTCGGAGTAGGCAGCTCGCAGGTGCGTGGTTTTTCCAACACTATAGCTCGAACTCACGGATTTTCTGCTGAAGGTACTACCATTAAGAATGAGACGGCAAGAAACATCGACATTTGCGCTTTGTGAAAACTTTCATGTGGCATATTGATAGTTAGGACTCAGGATTGTCGCCCCTCCCACTGTAAGACATTTTGCAATATAAGGGCCAGTGATGATTCCCTCCTCGACACTTTGAATGTCTTTGACCGTGGCTCACTGGTAAGTGGGCGCAATAAGCAGCCCTCGTGCGAATATTAATGCCTGGCAAGCCCCTATTTTCAACCTTACTCTCCTTTTGCCCTCCACCACCATGGCCCTCGATAACAGTGCATCCCCCGTCTCCGACACACCTCCCTCGTATGATGCGATTAATACATCGGTATCAACAGATTCCACTAGGTGTAAACGATCAGTATTTTCATTCCTACAATCCAAGCAAAAACGCCGCCAAGCTCTAGTTCTATCTCGCATCCATGAAATTGTTTCCTCTCCTGATCTCAACGTTTCCTCTGTTTTGTCGATTATCAAATCCTGTGCCGCTGCTCTCCCAACAGCAGAGTTCTCCAACCTACTTCAAAAACGCAATATCAAGAGCCACACGGCGCTGTATTGGGCGATTGTAAACCACCGGCGAGAAGCCCTTTTGGAGTTGGTTAAATTCATTCCCAAATTCTCACGTGCTTGCTCTGCCGACTTGCGTCTTGCGTGCGTGACAGCGAGCGACCACGATTCGTTTATGCTACTGAATTTGGGGGACAATTTCGATTGTAAGTGCAGGTGCATAATGTCCTGGAAGTGTGTTATTCGACTCACTGCGTATCATCAGCCAAGGATAAGTCTTCGAGACGCATGCTGGGTTGTCCACGAGATGATATCCAAGTCTATGAATGGGACACTGCGGACCGCAGCAAAAACCATTTCTATGTTCATATCGTCTGCAGGATGTTCCAGAAACGTTTGCGTATTGCACGAAAAGTTGAAGTCGAATTCGTTGCCCAGGGTATGTGGACCGTGACTTTGGCTTGTTGTCCATGCTGATACGAACACCCTATGTCCTGAAGGACGTATTTGGGTGTTGCACTTTGATATGACACAGAAAGAATACTGGTCTTTCGAGTATCATCTTTCCAATGATAGCTCGCCAGTGTATCATCAAGATGCCATATTTGAGATTGAGGCCCACAAACCGCTACCTGGCTCGGATACCCTGCAACCTCTATGCTTTTATTCGGGCGAATCGTGCAAGCTTGTACCTGCCAAGTAGGTCTATTGATCCCACTCGTCTGAAGTCAACGCATGCTGAAGTTTACTATCATTCTTATATGGCTACTCTTTACTTCCTTGCTCCGGCTAATACAGTCTATTTTACCCTCTCCTGTTTTCGGACATCATAGACAGAGTTGGCTGGCGATTGAATGAATGGCTGATGCACGAGTAAGCGTTCTTTCTCAGTCTTTCCCTCTTGTGGTGCCATTCATTTACATCGTCGTGATGTCGCACTCATGCTGATTCGGACTGTTTTTCTTTAGCAATAGTTCTTATGTGGACTGTCATGGCACCCTAACTGCAGGGCTTACGATGACAGTAAGATAATGCTACCCCAGGTACGGAAGACCCTACCTACAGTGCTAATGTAGTAGGCAGAACAGCACTGTCAGACAGAATGTGGCAGAACTCAAGATGTACTGCTACAGGCTCTCTACAATGTCTAGGTCCCGAGGTCATCCTCTCAATTCATTTGACGCGTTTTGTGGCAAGTTCTTATATACGATGTCTTGTACAGTATTGTGAATTACAACAAGAAGTGTCTGTACACTATGTCTACCGTCATCTTTTCCTAATCTTCTGTCGCAAACAACGCTCGAATGTCTCGTCGATATCGCACTCTTGACAGTGGTATGCGAATGTGCGTAGGTCAAGTACGGCTTGCTCCAGCGTGCGCGTGAGGTGGAGCGAATACTAAACGGGTAATTCACATATCGTCGCACATAGTCCTTTCCCAGTGATGTGGGTCTACTTCGAGCATATCATCAGGGTCACGTCTCGTATTCGTTCTGGATACTATCGCACTGCAAATGGTGATACACACCGCGAGAGCTTTGTGGCGCGTGCATCGGCGAAAATAACACATTTCCTCAAAGGCTTTTGGGTCTGGTCCAAATTCTGGATTGCTTCGTTGCTCGGTGTTGGTTTCCAAATACGTTCAGTGGTAGGATATGCGACGCTGAATCCATTCGTGAGTGTTTAGTTCCTTGTTCTCCGCACTCACTCACACATCAATTGTCAGGTCATTCACAATCATCCTTGGCTTGTGTTTGTGTCTACATTATCGCTGGCTTATCTCACAACAGTTCTCGCTCTCACCCTTCCCACTGACGAAGCATGGCGTCATCCCTGCTCCAGAACAGCAAAAGCTTTCTATCCTTCTCCATCAGTATGTTCTGACATGGGTGCTGCTCGTATACACGACATCAGCCGTCGCGCTTGGGGGAACATATTTCACAACTGCCTGGAACGCGGTGGTTCTCCTTGGCGCCATACTTGCGTGTGTGGAAGGCATGGCTGGCGCTCGGGGATATGAAGACGAAGAAGAAATCGGAAGGCAAAGGCGCACTCTTCCTCGTCATTCTTGGAAAGCCAATAGTGAACACCGAGGGGGGGACAAGTAATCAAGACGAGGCGGAGTACATGAAACGCAAGTATTTTGATGCTCGGTAGCAAAGTCCCGTCGTCCTTCAGTGCTTCGGCATATCTGAAGGTCCCTGCAGAGCCTGTGAAGAAGATTGAGGAGTGGTGGGTGAAACACTCATCGTGAAGTTGGGGGCGGAGGGGATGTGTGGGTAAACGGATTCCCATTATATGGGACGGCATCGTTTCACAAAATCTTATTAGTGTCCATATTGATGTACCTATTAGCGTCATGTAATGAACGTGCGCGCGCCATGTGTATTGACTTTCCCGGAGCACGCGATCTATTGGAGGGTATCCCTACTATCAGCATCAGCCTCAGTAAGGGTAGCGCGGCTTTATTGTCATCGTAAGCTCTGCAGTTAGGGTGCCATCGCAGTCCACATAAGCAGTATTACTAAAGCAAAGTAGTCCAAGTTAGCCCAAGGTTAGATTAAAGAATAATACTTACGCGTGCATGGGCCAATCACTCAATTGCCAGGAAACTCTGGGTGTGGTGTCGACCCCATCCATGTACCATTTACATACTCTGTGTATTAGCCAGGACAAATGAAGAGTAGCCATGTATGAATAAGAGTAAACTTTAGTATGCCTTTAAATGAGTGGGAATGATAGACCTACCCCCCAGGTAGTAGAATGTGTGATGTACGCATATGGAGGTGTAGAGGTTGCATGGTATCGGAGCCAGGTGACGGTTTGTTGGCCTGAATGTCAAGTACAGCATTTGGGCGCACTGCTGAGCTCTCTCGAGAAATACCAAACTCAACAAACCAATCTCCTGTCAGCGTATGCATACCAAAGCGTAACACCCATATACGTCCTTGAGAGAATCAGGTGTTGGTATCAGTGCGAGGAACAAACAAAAATCGTGTACTACATACCCTGGGCAACAAATTCTACTTCCAATTCCCGTGCAGTACGCAGACGCTTCTGGAACATCCTGAAGACAAAATGAACAAAGAAGTTGTTTTCGTTACCGTCCACGCCCAGGGTATCCCCTTCACGGACTTGAATGTTATCTCGCGGACAACCCAACATGCGTCTCAAAGACCTATCCTTGGCTAATAGTACAGTGAGTTACTTTTAGGACATGATGTATATGCACGTACAATCAACCTCATTGTCTCCCAAATGCAGTAGCATAAATGAATCATGGTCGTTTGCTGCCATACATGCAAGACGCAAGTCGGCAGAACAAGCACGTGAGAATTTTGGAATGAATTTAACAAACTCCAGAAGGGCTTCTCGCCGGTTGTTTACAATCGCCCAATACAGCGCCGTGTGGTTCTCGATATTGCGTTTTTGGAGCAGCTTTGAGAACTTTGCTGCTGGGAGAGCAGCAGCGCAGGATTTGATAATCGGGGCGACAGAGGCAACACCGAAACCAGGAGAAGAGACAATTTGATGGATGAGAGATAGAACAGAAGCTTTACGCTTGAATTGTAGGAATGAAAATACCGATTGTTTAGACCGGATGGAATCTTTTGATACGGACACATCATACGAGGGAGGTGCGTCGGAGCTGTCATTGAAGGCTATGGTGGCCATCGTAAAGGAGAGACAAAATAGGGGCTGCCGCTGGGCCGTCATACTATTCTCTCGGCTCTATCCGTTTCTGCGTCATGCTGTGTTGAGACTTGACATCTACGCCTTCGTGACTCCATGAACACAGAATGTTAATGAGGCCTCGAGGGCCGGCAGCCGACCGAAGGCGAGTCCATATAAATGATCCATGCTGATCCCAATCAGAGCGCTGTATAATCTTGCAATGGATACAATGATATTGCATTCAAAGAGCAAGTTGACATGTAGCGCATGTAACTGCGCGCGTGTTCAGTGATTGTCATTGATCCTGATAGTTGTAGTAAAGGATATCAGGTTTGAAAATCCATGATCATTATAATGTAAAAAGTACTGCTTGCCAGTCAGTTATAAAGGTCTATCTTAGGGATAAGAAATAGCGACGGACTCTATCTCGCCAGCTGGATGCTGATACCTATATTATCTATGGTATGTGTTGCCCAGAAATGGTAAGCCACCCTCGTTCTATTTTATGGTGATGCGAGAGTCTTCAATGCTTCCTGTATCTTTGCCTCCTCCATCTCGGCAAGCACCTTTCCGACAAACTCCTTAGCGCCAGCGATGTTGCCAGCTCGCTTTATCTGGAGTGAGGCTTGGGAGACGCGCCCAAGGTAATTTGTAGGAGTGGTTTTCTTCATCTGGATTGGAATGATAAAGTGGGGCACTTAAATTCCGTTCTTGATGAAGAGCTTGACTATACGTAGTGAGGACGGACTCAGATGACTAAGGTGGTGTTGTTGATGCTTGTTGATACGGTTCCAAAATTAATACTCGCACATGTTTTCCTCACAGACAGACTCGGAGCTCCCAAGACCGGTAGCTGGATCAGCAAATTTGAAGGATATCTCATCCTACGTTACGCTCTGCTCTAGGCACTAGACTGCTTTTTTATGCAGCGCGTTTGAGACATCCCTTGTGATATTTCTCATCTATATTGAGAAGGATCAATAGAGATGTCTTGCAAATCCGAAGCTTTCAAGTCCATCACCTGGGACAAGCATGTCTTGAAGGGCGAAAGTGTAAGTCATAATCTAAAATGCACATTCACTACATAATGCTAATGCTACCAATACTAGTGGCTAATAACGAGCATCGTCGAACTCTTCGGTTATTGACGCCCAGGTTGCAATCATGTAACGTTACTCAGGTGAGCAAGTCATCTCTTTGTGCCAGTGGCATCCTGACACGCCTGACCATGATGCATGATGACCATAACCTGTTACCTTTCTAATAGGTGCCGCCTGCATCACATCACAATGACAATGGGCACCGCATCACGACAATACTATAGTATCCCTAACACTCACCATAATCAACCGCGCCTGCTCCCTTGACACCGCCACCCTCCTCGCTCTCCGTATCTCAAACTCAGGTTCTGTCCCATTGAGTTGCACGTACGACGGCCGTTTCGGAGCTCGTACATTGATTGTGCGTGGTCTATCTACGAATATCGCGTCAGCACAACGACCGTACAATAAAGAGCGTGCTCACAGGCCTGTTGAGTCATATCTTTCAATGCTAAGTTTTGACGCGTAGCTGCTGGCTGGAAGACACGTTTTGCTAGGAATCACACTTTTAAACTCGAGGATGAATACTTCGAGAGCTGTGGGTGAGCTCCACAGCACGAAAATAGTGGTCCAAGCAAACGAACAAAAACTTTAGTGGCATAGTGAGTGGCGCCTGCTTTGCTTCCACGCTTTATCGTCCACAATTGCTTGTACACTAGGTATTTGCTTAAATACCTCTTTCCCGAACATGAGAAGGTCATCACTCGCTCCCCTCATTTGCATTCTAAAATCTTAGCTTGCCTCAGATAGCTCCAGGACTTTTATCCTCTTACCATATAACATAGAAATGGGTCACGCAGATCACAACCCCATGGATGCACAACGTTTCGACCCCCTGCGGCGCACTAACATGGTTAGTATTTCCTTTGGTCTCATTGTCCTGCGTTTCTTAACATTATTGCTTGTCTCCGTGTCATTTTTCAGAGACTGGTCTCGCTTTTCAAAACCCACACTTCAGATTTGGGGCTGGGCCTCTGCGTCGGGACCGAGCAAACGAGTGTGGGTGATGTACGGTCGGACCATGAGGTTGTAGTTGGTCTTGTCGAGGGAGGAGGTTTCGATTTGGAGGGGTCGTGCCCATCCCCTACGGACACATGCACTACACGCGCCACTTCCTCTACGCCTGACGACGTATATGACCCCGTCGACATCGTTGTCACACGCACCATCATCCAGCCTGATCCCAATCCCCGTCATGGCCCTCGTATGCTATCTCGCCCACAGATGGTGGTTAGGCGGATGTTCTCGCGCTCGCCGTCTTCTACAAACACCTACTCTCTCTCTCAATCTTCATCATCATCTGTGTCACCGCGATCCACCCCTCCTTCATGCTTCAAGAGCCTGGTGCTCCAGGCGTTCAACTGTCTCAGCACATCGTCAGCTTTTGATAGCGATGTGGATGATATGAAGGCGCACAGGATGAGGCCTGTGTTGCTGGTGATTGTTAAGGAGACAAGGGAGAAGTACGAAGATGATCGGGCATTTAAGGAGATCGTCGGGACTGTCTTTCCTGCTGCTGGCGTGAGGGGTTGACGCTTGAGCTTGGTCTTTGCATAGCGTGGGGTCAGATGGTTAGCAATGGTTTTTGCTGCAGCTCTGTATTGCGTACAATGATTCCATATTATATTACATAACTAACTTAATATCTGGGGAATGTCTGTACACTTTTATTGATGTGTATTTTATAGTAACTTGCTTGTCATCCATCTTGTGTATCTACTTCCGTGTTCACTATGCAAGTGAGTGTTATGTGAATATATATTAGCCGCGCATGCTTTGGTTTTAAATGTTGAGAGTAATAAGCATCCTTCCAGCTGGTGGTACGCTGTACAGTGGCTATGGGAGTTTTGTACCCAAAATGGTAGTTTGCACGCGCGTCATAGGCCCGGGTATACTTGTACTCATTTGAGATCGATTTCAAACGTTCAACACAGGTCTTCGCTGGCATGTGAAAGCAGTTGGATTATATGTATGCATTTTGTCGACGAATATAAAACCTAAACGACTTCGATGGGGATACGCGCAAATACTGGCACTCCCAAAAATGACGGAGCCGAACGAAGCCAAGGTTCAAGTCCTCTTGGACATCATCAACTCCTCCGCACACCAAGCAATCGCGGAATACAAGAAAACTGGCCATGGAGTCCCTGGTATTGACGCAGGCACCCTCCATCCCCTCGACTTCGCGACGGATGCACTTGCCCTCAGAAAGGCAATTAGGCTACTCGAGGGTGCATGCGAACAATTGAACACCATACTGGCTCCCCCCCAATACACGGCACATAATGTAAGTATCGATTATAGATAACCCTACATGCCTCGTTTCTCATCTTCCCAGTTCATTAATAATTACAATTGGGCGTGCATAGACGTCGCCTTGCAATCACGTATTGCAGACGTCTTGGACAAACACCCGCAAGGTCTTAGTGTGGATGCGTTGGCTAATGCAGTCGACCACAGTAAAGCCAAGATCGCACGCGTCTTGCGAGTTTTAGCCCTCAAGGGTTGTTTCAAAGAAGGTAATATACATAATACTTTGATTGATACTTCTCTCTGAAGCCCTGGATGTTATACAGTTAAGCGAGACGTATTCGCAAACACGCGACTCTCCCTCATGCTCAAGTCAACAAACAACGTCGCGGCTTATATAGGTCAATTCCCAAAACATGTTGCGGCTCTCTATGGGACTATGATGGACAAAGAGTTTGCAAAATCAGGCGAGGTTGAAAAACCCCCTCGAGCATCTAATGTCAGAAAGGAAGGCAACAACAACAGTTTCTGGGAGACGGACGTGAGTTTTAGTCATCATACTGGCCTTTCATAGCTTACCATAGTGTATAGGGCGAGAGACTCGATGTGCGTGAGGATTCAGTATTCAATATTCATCCGCTCTTGACTGGCTGACGGCTCGCATAATCTTATACACAGATATTTCACAGAGGCATGGCGGGCTATTCTGAGATTCAGTGCTCGTCTGCGGTGTTGCATTGTGAGCAATCACCGTTTTTTCAACCGTCAGCACGATTGAAGCAGGCCATAAGATTACCCTTGGGACAATGTATCCTCTGTGGTGGATGTCGGATCTGGAACGGGAGCCATGTCTATTCCTCTGACGAAAATGTTCCCTCATCTCAGAATAACCAATCAGGACCTCCCAGGAGCTTTAGAGATGGCAAGAAATGTGAGTTCAGATATCAGGTCCTCACCCAACGGACAAGTTATGTTTATATTTGATCAGGCATGGGAGAAGAATGCTCCTGAGGCGCTGCTCGGCGGGCACATAGAGTTCGTGCCATTGAATTTCTGGGAGGAGTCGCCTGTTGTCGGAAAGGATGTCTACTATGTAAGTGCTTGGTTTGTTCTCATTCAACGCGGGCTGCTCAATACTCTGATACAGTTGAGGAACATCATTCACGACTGGCCGGACAATGAGTCGATGGTGATTCTCCATAATATTCGCAAAGTAATGGGACCAAACAGCCGAGTGTTGATTCGTGAGTCAACTGCTTTTCAAAGTGGTGTTTGCTCCAGAATCAATATACTGCGATAGATGAGTGCGTGCTCTTGCGCAACTTCGAAGAGCCTGACGTAGGGGCTAACGAGTTTAGTAAGGTGAGTTCAGAGTTTAGCTGGATGGCTCAGGTGCCATGATCATACTACATTCAGGATCATAAGGCACCCGACGATACGTTGTTGAATTTCGGTAGTCACACAGCATACCAGCTTGACCTGCTCATGTGGCTTGCTTTCAATGGCAAGGAGCGAACCTTGAACGAATTCAAGACTATTGCGCAAGTTCCTTCCATGCCTGTATACGTCGACGATGTTTGATCTGTTATGATTTGCAGGGCCAGTGCAGGTCTGGCGCTCACCCAAACCTATGATCTCGTAGGGACGATGCTCTTGGAGTTTAGAATCGCTCAGGACTGATGCCGAACACAATCTGCGATCTTCTGTTATTGTACTTTTACCCTCCCCAACCGATCCTCCTATGATTCAACGAAGACGATAACGACAAAGGAAACTTAGTCCTCTGATGTGTTGATCGCGATTGATCAAGACTGAGCCGGTCCTTACAGCCAATCATCACTGAAAGCTTCCCTAGTGGTTCCATCCGAAGCTTCTACCCCTGCTGAACAATACCCATCGTGTGCTTATCCTCAAAATTGTCTGCGATATCGAGACGCCGTATACTAATGCACTTTCTACTCTACCCAGTGTTGTCAGCAGGTCCAGAGGCAGTTCGATCCCGTGCCTTCTTCTCTATTGTTTGCGATATCGCATTGCGTTGACCGTATCCAGCGAACAGACATATTTGTAGGTAGTAGACGCTCGAGGATTTGAAACACGCGCTTTGGGGGATCGTCCAAGCCTGAAAACGGGTTTCTTATCTGGTGCAGCATGAAACAGGGATCCACGCATAAGAAAAGAGCGAAAGATTTATACTTCACGTTTGAGTAAGGACAGCCGTATTGAAAAATGACCCACGTTGACTTGCTACTTCAGCGTCAACTGCAATAGAATGAGCTGAACGCGGCAATGAGAGGAACATGTCATGGCTCAGCGCTTGTTGCTACAGTTTTAGATATGTTGCGCACTTTGAGTGCATCTTGTAACAAAGTAACAATTTGGACGAGGATTGTATATGAAGGAGACATACCTCCTCCTAGTGATCCATGACATGAAATCATGCAGGGTTCAGTACTCAGTCCCGCATCAGCGCGCAGCAAGTACTGCTGCTACTGACGCGCCCGAGGTAATTTTTGAGGGTGATTAGTTACGACGTACTACAATTTCAAATGACTCGGACGCGAGTGGAACGAATTGCAAATATACAGCCGCACTGAGACAGAGAGGCTTGTACATAGTATTGAAACACCAGCTAAAATACAAAGCGCTGCGGCACCGTACTCAGACTCTTCATTAACAGACGACGTCCTTCGGTTCACCCTCTCAGTACGCAACGAGGAAGTATACTGTACTTCAACACAATCTGCGACGCATGCGCAACCGCATCTCTGGTAAAATCAGCGTCCTTGTCCATGAAACCAGTACGAACATCATAAGTACCACAGTCATCCACTTAAACAACTCCAAAATCAGACTACACGGTGGGTATCTATAGAATTGAATCCAAAGTATGATCTACTGTACACTCGGTCACGTCTAAACTGCAATTACAGTAAGTTGAGTGTGTCAACCATCTAGTTAATCTTGTGCATGTGGTCAGCGGGATGAGGAGTTATGCCAAGATGAACTCGACTTGGTCGACCATGGCCTCGAGCTGCTTGGCAGATTGAAAGGTAACAACACCCATAGCCGTAGACTCGGAAGGCAATGATTGGCGCTGTCTGGGTCCTCTTGACTCCTGCAGTGTAACAACATACCATCTCGGTTGCGAAAGTGAAGGGCGGATGGCCGGACGCGAAACCACGAGCATGTAGTGTACGGTATAATGGACAAGTATTGACTTTGGAAGCAGGCGGTGAAATTGAGCTTCTCTCGAACTAGGTAGGGTAGATGAAGAATGTTGGTGTGTTATTCCCAGTGAGTTACAGGAGAACGATGGGTCGTGCTGCTCATCTTGAAGAACAAGGAGTCAATGTAGTTGCTTGAGGATTCAGATGGTGGCAATTCAGGCAAGGCTCCTTCATCCTGGAGATGACGTGTAAGTGGATGCGAGGATAGAAGACTCGGAAGCACCGCAGAGTTTGAATATGTTGTCATTCGCCGATAACACGCTCTTCGCAAGATTGGAGATCCTTGGCAAGTGCCTCTCCCTCTTACGTAGCGGCAATCCATATTGACTTGCCACTTCAGCATCGACTGCAATGAAATGAAATGAGCTAAACGCGAGCAGGGTCTGGTAGACTAACTCATTCTTCAGGCCCGGGGTATGTCATGGCTCAGCGCTTGTTGCTGTGTTAAGCACTTTGAGTGCAAAGTAGCAAAGTGACAATCTAGATGTTGTGTTGAGATGGACGAGAATCGCAGGAATTTGAGTGACTTCTATGGTACAATAACTTGAATATGCGTGCCACCTCTGTTCAGAGTAATCTCCGAAACTTGCGTGTACATGTGGGAGTTATGTACCCAAAATTGGTACGGGCGTCATGACTAGGTAATATGCTTCTTTGCTTGTATCACAGGTCTTTGCTGGCAAGTGAAAGAACCCTCGATATGCGAGATCTCACCAGCAGAGAAGACATGATGTTGGCAAAATGGGAGGTACTCGCCATACTAGCTGCCCCACATAGTGAAAGGTTCTTCTTTCCGAACACCTGCGTTAGCATTGAGGAGACACAGGCAGGGCAAAGGTCAAGCCAAGTGACGTTGATGAGTATCAACATGGAGCTGCTTGCTAAGAGACGGAAGAGCGTATATTTGATAAACGGTAAAAGAAGTCGAGCTTTATATAGATATCACGGTGGTGACCAAATATAATTCAAATTCAGCCGCGACCCCACTCCGGCGTCCGCCCCAGACTACGATGTATGTCAATATTTGCTGCTGCATCATAACTAGATGGTATATCCAACATTCGAGATCGATTTCAAACGTTCAATTCCAACACAGGTCTTTGCTGGCATGGGAAACCAGTTGGATTATATGTATTTTGTCGAGGAATATAAAACCTGAACAGATACGCACAAGTACTGGCACTCCCAAAAATGACAGAGCCAAATCAAGTCAAGGTTCAAGTCCTCTTGGACATCATCAACTCCTCCGCACACCAAGCAATCGCAGAATACAACAAAACTGGCCATGGAGTCCCTGGTATCGACGCAGGCACCCTCCACCCCCTCGACTTCGCGACCGATACACTTGCCCTCAGAAAGGCAATCAGGCTACTCGAGGGTGCATGCGAACAATTGAACACCATACTAGCTCCCCCCCAACACACGGCATATAATGTAAGTATCGGTTAAAGATAACCTTACATCCCTTGTTGCTCATCTTCCCAGTTTGTCAATAATTACAATTGGGCGTGCATAGACGTCGCTTTGCAATCACGTATTGCAGACGTTTTGGACAAACATCCGCAAGGTCTTAGTGTGGATGCGTTGGCTAATGCAGTCGACCTCGATAAGGCCAAGATCGCACGCGTCTTGCGAGTTTTAGCCCTCAGGGGTTGTTTCAAAGAAGGCAATATACATCATACTTTGGTTGATAATTCTCTCTGAAACCTTGGATGTCACACAGTTAAGCGAGACGTATTCGCAAACACGCGACTCTCCCTCGTGCTCAAGTCAAAAACCAACGTCGCGGCTTATATACAACGTCATCGAGATTTCGCAAAATATGCAGCGGTTCTCTATGAGACTATGATCGACCAAGAGTTTGGAAGATCGAGCGAGGTTGACAAAACCCCTCGAGCATTTGCTCTCAGAAAGGAAGGCAAAGACGACAACTTCTGGGAGATGGACGTGAGTTTTAGTCATCATGCTGGCCTTTCATGTCTTACTATATTGTATAGGATGAGGCACGCGATGTGCGTGAGGATTCGATATCCAATATTCATCCGCTCTCGACTGGCTGACGGCTCGCATAATCGTATACACAGATATTTCACAGAAGCATGGCGGGCTATTCTGAGATCCAGAGCTGTTCTGCGGTGTTGCATTGTGAGCAGTCACCATTTTTTCAACTGTCAGCACGATTGAAGCAGGCCATAAGATTACCCTTGGGACAATGTATCCTCTGTGGTGGATGTTGGGTCTGGAACGGGAGCCATGTCTATTCCTCTGGCGAAAATGTTCCCTAATCTCAGAATCACCAATCAGGACCTCCCAGAAGCTTTAGAGCTGTCAAGAAATGTGAGTCCGGACATCAGGTCCTCGCACAACGGACAAGTTATATTTATATTTGATCAGACATGGGAGAAGAATGCTCCTGAGGCGCTGCTCGGCGGGCACATAGATTTCGTGCCATTGAATTTCTTAGAGGAGTCACCTGTTGTCGGAAAGGATGTTTACTATGTAAGTGCTTGGTTTATTCCCATTCAATGTGGGCTGCTCATTACTCTGATACAGATGAGGAGCATCATTCACGACTGGCCGGACAATGAGTCGATGGTGATTCTCCATAATATTCGCAAAGTAATGGGACCAAACAGTCGGGTGTTGATTCGTGAGTCGACTGCTTTTCAAAGTAGCGTTTGCTCTAGAATCAATATACTGCGATAGATGAGTGCGTGCTCTTGCGCACATTCGAAGAGCCTGGCGTAGGGGCTAACGAGTTTAGTAAGGTGAGTTCAGAGTTTAGCTGGATGGCTCATGTGCCATGATCATACACTCAGGATCATGAGGCACCCGAACATACATTATTGAACTTCGGTAGTCACACACCACACCACCTTGACATGGTCATGTGGCTTTGTTTCAATGGCAAAGAGCGAACCTTGAACGAAATCAAGATTATTGCGCAAGTTCCTTCCATGCCTGGATACGTTGACGATGTTTGACCTGTTATTCACAGGGCCAGTGCTGGTCTAGCGCTCACCCAAATCTATGATCTTGTAGGGACGATGCTCTTGGAGTTTAAAATCGCTCAGGACTGATGCCGAACACAATCTGTGACCTTTTGTTATCATACTTTTACCCTCCCCAATCGATCATCCTATATTCAACCATAGGCGCTGCTATATATAATTTGAAATTTGAAATACGACTCTCGTGATCACTATTGATCGATATTTACTGGTCATGAGTCGTTATTCGGCAAGCCATTGCATATACTATAGACGCTAGTTCAAGTTGAACGTCGAGCACCAGGTTTGCAACCTATAAGTCGTGCATTGGCTCAGCGAGGTTCAAGTCAAAACAAACATGGGGTTCCTCAGCGTGCTATCCGCTGTGCTCGCGTTTCGCACAGTTCCGACTACTATCTTCATAACGGTCATTTATGCGACAGTCTTCAGCACCTTGCTAATAACCGACCGGCTCCCCTCTGTGCCCAAGCATACACAAGGCTTAGATTTCCAGCAGGCATACAGAGACTTGCACGAGGTGCGTTATCTTTATAGATATGCGACTGGTTCACT